TCCAAAAGAGCAAAGTAACAAGCAAAGTGAGATGAATACTTTTAAAACGTGTGAAGAACTAAAAGCTTTGAGGTGCTGATGGTGGTAAACGTGGTGTCCTCTCTTGAGGCTGATAAGTCTTCTTTTATAAGTCTTAAGGTCGGCTAGGGTTTCTTCCAAAAGATTTAGGAGATAATCTTCAAAAAGAAAAATTCTCAATCTTCTCGGATGTGGCGATTGACCGATCGCCTTCTGCGTTCGATTGATCACCATGTTAATACGTCTATCCATAAAAAACAGTGAGTTTGTGATCGGTCGATCACCTGTGGCGTCCGGTCGATCGCAAGTGAATATCCGTTTTGAATCTGAGATCCTCCTCTACCTCGTGGTAAAATATGAGCTCGATCTAACGGTGGTAAAATCTTCATCTGGAGCAAAACATTTGACGGTCAGAATTTGTTCTTTTCTTGAAAAGACTTGATTTCACTCATTTTTGGTCAAAAATGCTCTAAAAGCTTGTAATGACTTCAAAACCCACGAAAATGCTAAAAGTAGCATGTTAACTCCAAAAAGCATTCATTTCTTTATGAAATACATATTAAAAAATAATAGAAAAACGGGTAAAAATAATAGAAATATCGTATATATCAGATCCATGTACAATTTTTTTAGCTCGCAATATAACAACAAACTCAAGCGGGATTGTCCTCCTAATCGCTACACTAGCTTTTGCGGAAGCATCAAAACTCTCTTCCTCTTCAATATATGAGGCAAAAGAAGCCATTTTAATATGAAAAAAGTCTCAAAATTTCCAAATTTTCATTTCAAAACAGCAGGCAACCTCTTCAACATTCTGCATTCGAGCAACATTGCGGGGTACCGTGCGATTTCATCGTGTTTAGTGGCCTATAGGTTTTAAACGTTGGACATTCGAAAACCATAACGTTAAATGCCAAACACATGCCTGAGATTTTGATGTACAACAAAAATGTTGGTGGGTATTTCTTGGTCTTTAAACTTGTGTATCAGAACATTCCCCTAGTCATTTGTCTTCAATGAAAATCTTGTTTATAAAGTCTCTAAACCTTCGGGAGTAAAGCTTAGGATCAACAGCTGAAATTGAAGTGGGATCTACATGCAGTGACTTGTAGGCGTGCTCTAACTTTTTGGTGATATCATAGTCTTGAAGAATGTCAATTATACCGAAATAGAGGATCACATCAACCACCTCGTTCCTCGTACTCTTAGGATTCGAGTTATCAATGTCGTCTTCTTCCCACGACTCTTCCTCAAATCTGCTCACCTGCTCTGCTTTTGCGGGTGTACTTTCCCCTAGTCTGATTAATGGTCCGTTGCTACATTTTCAAAGACATTTTAAAACATAAGAATGTTGTCATGAAGACATATGCATATTTTTAGCTTTTATTTGATTACTTAAGAAGTACATTTAGTAATCATGCTCAAAAGGATTCTATTCTGGATCTGAAGTAATTTGATTTTGATCTGCCTTTTCTATGCAACATGGATTGAATCAATTCTATTGATACAAATTGATCACTTATATGAATGAAAGAATCCAAGACCTAGTTGTGATAATTTTGTTGTATCTCTAGTTTGATTATGTAAAAATGGTAAGGTAAGGTACCAAGTTTGGGTGACAGAGTCCATATTAGGAAGCGAATTATACCCTCTCATTAATTTGTCCTCCTGATCTCTTCGACCTAAATAAAGCAAGAAGCTAATTTAAGAGGAAACACAAAAAGTGATGGAATTTAAGTTGAACGAAATGTAAGATTGATTAATTACCTATGCCCAAGGAAATGTCGTCACGCAAGCCAGTTTCACGGAAATGGAGACCAATCAAGAGACTATAGTCCATAATCCTCTCAGTTTCGAGGAACTCACAGTCTAAATCGATTTGGTTGATAAAAGCATGAAACCATGAGCTCTCTAGTCGAAACACATACTTGAGATCCAAGTCTTTGAGTGTTGTGGTTTCGTCGATTTCACCTTCACCCTTGTCGATGGTACGGCCGTGTGATGAACCTTTCAAGTCAAACCGTTTGTGTATACGGTACTCCGAACAAAACAAATTCCCCATCACTATGAACCGAGTCTGTTGTTTTTTTTTGTTTGTCACGAAGATAGCAAAAAAAGAAAGTTTTAAATTGATCTCATCATCATTTGATTTGTGAAGATAAACTTGTAATAGTAGACCATTTCTTATACCTTTTGGCCTCCTACCGGTTTGACGCAATGCACTCCAAAGAACTTGGTGACCAATGAGTTCTTGTACTTGGAAACATGCTCATAATAACTCGGGAGCATCTTTAGCAAAACCTAAGTATGGTTATAAAGCTCAAATTAATCATATTGTGTGATAGAAAGAAATGCAAAAGCAAAAGATGATATTAGTTACCTTAATTTCGGATTTCTTCATGGTTTTGATCATGAAGCGTTCGTCTTGAGTCAAGTAAAAGGAACTTCCACTCTTTCCGGGCGAAGAAAATTCCCGAAGAGATTCATTTCCGCAAATAGCGAGCATGTAGTCCGCTGGATCTATGGTGAATAACTCTCTTAGATGCCTATTTGACCACACAAACACACATAGTCAAGAACCATTATATGGAAGTTATCTTTTGTTTCCAAACTCAATTTTAAAGTCCCAACTCTTGAGTATATTTACTTGCCTAAACACAATGGGGCAATAGTCTTTCCATTTAAATTCGACAGATTGATGGGGAGGTGTGGACTTAGAGCCTTCGGGCGGAAACCTGGTCCATTGCTTGTCCTTGGGATCAAAATCACAAAGCCTAAGTTCCCTCAAAACCGAAGCATGTTTCCCAACAGAGTATCTAATCCCAAGCTGTAGATTTAACATCAAATCGTAGTTCTTATGTGAGGCCGTAACCGTATGGCCCGGTTTCTTAACATCTCCTTCATCCAGCCACCGCGGACTTTGCTGCAAACTCATGGTACCACCACTCTCCAAAAGCAAAGGGCTTCTTACCCACTCATACTCTCCGCTCGCGTTATCCCCTGTATCCGACTCGCTCGTGTACGGACTCAACATAGAGCCCGCCTCTACGTTATCGCACGCGTTTGAATCTTCCAATTCGGATATACAAATGCGGGGGAAATTGGTGTTCTTTGACAAAGTCTCAACGGAAGAGAGCTTAATATTGTCATCATCTTTCTTCTTGTTCTTCCTGCCCCACCCACCAAACTGATTAGTACTCGTCTTCTCCTCGCTCCAACTCAAAACGCCTTTCCCGACCGGAGCTCCGTTTCCCCACAAGCCTTCGTACCGGTTTCCGTTAGCCCACGTCATGGCCCCTCTCCCAGAGATAACGCCGTTCTTCCACTCCCCTACGTACTCGTTCCCATCGCACCACACATAACGTCCGTGACCGTCTTGCAGATTGGCCTTCCAGTTCCCTTGGTAAACGTCGCCGTTCGCGTACCGCTTCTCTCCGTAGCCATGCTTCCTTCCCCAAAGCCAGTGGCCTCTGTAAGTGTCGCCGTCGATTCCAATGAACGTTCCTTCGCCGTCCATCCGACCATCCTTGAACTGGCCCTCGTAGGTCGCTCCGGACGGCCACGAGAACCGCCCTTTCCCGCTCGCTTTGCCACGTGTCCACTCCCCTTCGTACATACAACCATCCGACCACAGATACTTGCCTGTCCCGTGTGGCACCCCGGCCGATAAGCCTCCGTTGTAAAGGTCGCCGTTCTTCAGCACCTTCTCCACTATTCTGATCTCCGCCGCCGCGTCAGTCACCTCACAGCTCGTCGTCGGAACCACGCGCCGGGAGCTCTGTTTGTATCTCGACGATTGCCCTTTGTTGAGATTGTCCTCCGTGAACAGGAATACAGTCTCTTGCA